TTTTGTGGCAGCATGAGGTAGGAGATGGACACCTCATTTTTTATTTTATTTTTATTTTATTTTTTTCTCTTAAATCCAAGTTAGTTAACATATAGGGCAGTAATGGTTTCAGGAGTAGAATTTAGTGATTCATCACTTACATACAACACCCAGTGCCCATCACAAGTACCCTTCTTAATACCCATCACCCATTTATTCCCCACCCACCCCTTCTCCAGCAACCCTGAGTTTGTTCTCTGCATTTAAGAGTCTCTTATGGTTTGCCTCCCTCTCTGTTTTCATCTTATTTTTCCTTCCCTTCTCCTATGTTCACCTGCTTTGTTGCTCAAATTCGACGGATGAGTGAAATCATGTATTTGTCTCTCTCTGACTGACTTATTTCCCTTAGCATAACACACTCTAGTTCCATCCACGTTGTTGCAAATGGCGGGATTTCATTCTTTTGGATCGCTGAGTAGTATTCTATCATATATGGATACCGCATCTTTATCCATTCATCCGTCGATGGACATTCGGGCCCTTTCCACAGTTGGCTGTTGTGGGAACCTCATTTTGATAAATCGCCCTTTTTGTCCTCATACATCAGCGGACCGTATTTCAGGAAGATGTTTTTGAAGTCTAAAGCTAGGATTCTGCTGAGAATGTATCTTGTAAAAATACACCCCCATGATGCACAGCGGCTCACATACAAGGGTCTCCGGGGCAGCACTGTGTGTCATTAACCAAATGGAAGCAAATTAAACGTCCGTGCCTGGGGGGGGGGGGGTCACCGAGTGTGGCGCCAGGCATGCCGTGGGACACGCCTGCAGCCTCAGAAAGTTCGGGCCATCCTATACGTATCCATGTGAACTCGGCGCCCAGAGATATGAAGTGAAGAAGTAAGGCAGCAGGAGGGAGGGAGATCAGAGGCACCTGGACATTGGCTCTTGCCAGGTCCGTCTTGCCAATACATTAGTCTGGAATCTGCTCATCCGGGGAAGCTGCTTTGGGCTGTTTGCTTACGTGGTGCACCAAGGATTTCCTGGAACCACCGGGCAGTAGCCAGGGAGGCAGCCCTGTGTAAGGTGGGGGTACAGCAGGCTCTCGGCCACGAAGAAGCAGACCTGGCCCGAATCCGTGAGACGCTCAAGGAATCCGCAGGCCCCCTCTGCCCCAGGTGTGGAGCCTGGCCAGGCACAGAGTAAGGTCTGATCGGGCACCCTGCTGCCCGGACACGAGAGTGGGGACTGGGGTTCAGCCCTAGAAGCAACACCTGGGTTTGGGGGTGACAGATCCAGGGTCTCCTATGGTTTGGAAACATAGTGTCACAACCTTGAAAGTTGCTTTCATCAATAATTGCAATAAGCCGTTTCAAAATTGGTGAAGAAACACGCAATTGACTAATTCTCGAGAGTGCCGAAGCATCTTCGGGCCTCAGTCAACAACTCGGCTCTGCCTTTCCGTGATTATAGAAGAATGAAGAAATGTCACATCCCACGTGTCTGTCCCTGAGTGCAAATTCTAAAAAAAGGTGGATTGTGAGATGAGGGGCCCCTAGACCCTCTTATGTCTGCTACAGCATTGGCAGGGACACAGAGAACCTGCGGCCACGACCAGCAGGCTGAGTTTCAGGGATGCCCTCGAGGCAGGACTGGGATCCATTAGGCCACAGGGCGGACTGTTTTATGCTGTGCCTGCAGGGAATGACCCAGCCCCAGGCCAGGCATGTGCTCAGCTGCACACACGCAGAGCAGGGCTCCATCCACAGAGGAAGGTGATACAAGGGAGGGATCTACCCAAAAGACGACGAGGTTCAACTGATGTATTATCAGCATTCATTCATGCATGTCAGAACTGGTGAGTTCCAGGAGGGACACGGAGAAGAGGGGGCTGTCCTTGCCCTCAGGAGCCCACAGCACAGTCAAGGAGCGGCGGCCAGGCACAGGCACCTGGGAAAAGGCCAGGCAGCATAAACAAAGTGAGGGTGGGGACCACCCGGGTGGCTCAGCGGGTTGAGCGTCCGACCCCGGCTCAGGTCATGATCTCGTGGCTCATGAGTTCAAGCCCCCCATCAGGCTCTGTGCTGACAGCTCGGAGCCTGGAACCTGCTTCGGATTCTGTGTCTCCCTCTGCCTCTCCCTCGCTCGCACTCTGTCTCTCTAAAATAAATAAGCATTTTTTTTTAATCTTAAAAAAAAAAAAAAAAAAGGTGAGGCTGGCAGGAGAAATGACCGACCAGTTCCCGTCACGAGGGTTCCAGAAGAGTTCAAGGAAGAACATTTGACCCGGGTACCTGGAGAAAGGACAGCATTTCTGTAAGGAGAATATTCAGGTGGAGGAAACAGCCGAGTAAAGGCTCGGGAGCGTGGGCACGCCGTGACCAATTAGCTGAGCGTGAGGAACAATGGAAGAATACTCGGGGCTTTCTGGCCGGGAACTCTTCTTGCAAGAAGGATTAACAAAGTCACCTCCTCTATCCTGAGCGCCACACCACGTGTCTGTCTGCCTCTGAACCACTCCTCTCACAGGGCCTGTAGGTACCGAAATTCGGTGCGTCTGAAACGAAACTCATCCACCCCGTCCAGCCCGGTGTCTTCTCTCGGATTTCCTACCACCCTCCACCAAGCCCTCCAAACAGAGAGCCTCAGAGTGGTCCTCAAATCCTCTGACGAGCTAGCCCTGTATGTGTGATGGGCAGCTGATGATCAATACTGGTTGAATGAATGCGTGAATGAATGGGGAGGAAGGCCAGGAAGTGGGGGAAGGATCCTGTTGGCAATGTGTCGAGTCTGAAAGACAGCGAGGCCCAGAGCTGGCTATGCCAGGGCCTCCCCAGAGCCAGTGTGCATGGAGTCATTAATTTGCCTGTTTGCCCGGCGTTGAACAGCGGGGCCAGATCGTGCACAGCCTGCAGGGAAGCAGGGGACGGGTTTCCCAATGCTGAGACGGTGGCATGGCGTGAATATAAGGAGTGCGAAGCCGGGTGGCTATGGTACAAACCGCTGGGCGGTGGCGGGAGCTGGTGTTTGGCAGGCAGGCGAGGGAATTCAACGAACTTCTCCCGCATCCTCGCTTCCTCTCCACCCCTGAAATTCACACGGGGACCCTTGGCCGGGACAAGGACTGGCACAAGGTAAGCCCTTCCCCACAGGCATGCCGTAAGCCCCACACCTTGCCCTTTATGGAGTCCTCTAGCTTCAAACCCAAGAGGAGCTCTGGGAAGAACCCCCGATCTGGGCAGAACCCACTCTAGATAGAATAGACGAGAGAAAAGGAGTTCTTGAGATAGCTACTCACCCGGGGGCTCCAGCCTGGCCAACAGGAGAGACCCCAGACCAGGGATCCTGCCCCTGCCAATGTGTGAGGTTACCGGCTGGGCAGAGAGCCACCTGTTAAATATTTAGGAATTTCGTGGCGGGTTGTTGGACCATCGGT